TTCATGCTTATTATTTTTATTTTTTACGTTTCAGGCCTGATGTTTGTTTTTTTAGTAGAATGGTTGAAAGCTATCATGCCCTCCTCTTAAACAGCAAGCAGACGTCTATTAATAACGTTAGCACAGCAATAGCTAGTGGAAGAGGGCGTATCCCATTTCCGCAGTGGACGTCTCATTGGCTTACTGGTTATTGGATTTAAGGCACTGCCCAACCATACAGGTCTCAGATTCAAAGTGGCCAATTAACTGAAGTCGGCGCCAAATTCCGAACACTCCACCCGTTTTCAGAATCAGTTCATTTCCAGGAGCAGCAGCGGTTACGGCAGGTTTAGTGAACGAGTTTAGAAAGTTAACTGAAAGAGGCAAATCAAAGAAAAGACAGTTAAAACTGATAAAGGCGTCAGAAATTAAAAAGCAGAAAATGTATAGACTCCTATGAATGGTGAGATAACTTTAAAACTGAAACAAGCCTGAATTTAGTTTGTCCTTTCTGTCATTATGGATTCTTTTTAATGCGTAATACATATAGAATAGGCTATTTTTAAAACATTACACTGTCCTTCTCTTTATTAGGTTTATTAGGCTACTTGGTCCTGTTTAACAGGCTTTTTAGACTTTTTTTTTGTCAATTGATAAATTTATTTCATTTACTGCAAATATAAATCAGTACCACATGTTAAAGTGCATGGTTTAATCGTAGGAAGAAAGCTGCGAGCCAGATCTTGGATTACACTGGTTCATATTAAATGAACAACCTTGAAAAGATACTGACATTACTGAAACACAAACCTCATGTAAGCTGTGTACATTTATTAGTTTATGTGTTTCAGTTCATTTCATAACTGATGTGTGACGTGTCAGCAGACGTCCCACAGGAACCGGAGTAGCACAAAAGCTGTTAGCACAAGTCCATATTCAGCCATTCACTAATTCCTCTCTTTGAGTGGATGAAGTTCATTTACAGGTTAGGAACAACACAACGACAGCACAATTCTGACAAGCAAACAACAAGAAAGAATGTTTTTCAAAATGTCTGTGACGACCGTCTGAGTCCACACACGAATTTGAAAAGCCCATTCTTGCTAAATCTACAGTGAAGAGTTACAGCCTACTGTATGTTTTGTGTTGCGAGATTTTCACAGGGTTTGCGACTGAGGCAGGTTGACATGATGGCGGATGGTATAGCAGGGAGCTCTACCACCTTATCAAAGAGAGAGAAAGGTATGCATTTTTTTGAACACAAATCATTTGTTATCATTCCTCAATATAACATGTATCCATTGGAATAATATATACACTATATGGACAAAAATATTGGGACACCTACACATCACACCTACTGGAGCTTTTATAACATCTCATTCTAAATCCATAGGCATTAATATGGAGTTGGTCCCCCTTTGCAGCCATAACAGCTTCCACTCTTCTGGGAAGCTTCCTACAAGACTTTGGAGAGTGTCTGTGGGAATTTTTGTCCATTCATCCAGAAGAGCATTTGTGAGGTCAGACACTGATGTTGTTCTTCCACACCAAACTCACCCAGCCAGGCCTTTATGGAGCTGCTTTGTGCACTGGGACTCAGTCATGCTGGAACAGAAAAGGTTCTTCCCCAAACTGGTCCCACAAAGTTGGAAGCGTAAAATTGTCTTGTTCTGCTGAAGCATTAAGGTTTCCCTTCACTGGAACATACTGATCATGTGATCGGTCAACGCTTTTCTGATAAACAATCTGAGGTTTGATTTTGTTCTTAAATATTCTACATGATTCATTTCTTCATGACTGTTTTCCAGCCTCTCCTTATTCCTTGCAATTAAACAGGCTGTTTTTGTTACAGTGCCTTTAATACTGATGTCTATATGTAAATAAGCTCTGCTGTGATTGGCTGTCCTGCATTGTTCAAAAACCAGTTTAATTCAATTTTGAGTGGGTGGGGCTAAACTGCTGTAGGCAGAATAGGTGGATACATACATGAATAGATTGCAGCTTATTTTACATATTTGGACTGTATGGACTGCTGGACCTTTGAAACTGCAGCAGGGTTTATATACAACTTTGAACTAATTAATTTTTCAAAAGTGAGGAAAAAGCTTTTCTATGATATGGACCCTTTGAATAAATAACAACTCTAATAAACCCTGTATTCTCTCAGCAGGTTATTCAATAAAATGTCTGAAAAATGGATTACAGTAAGAATAAAGAATAAAGAGGCTGCAAGACAGCAAGATATTTTAATATTTTTATTTGATGCTTTGTTGATGCTTTTGTGTGTATATGTGTGTGTGTGTGTGTGTGTGTGTGTGTGTGTGTGTGTGCAAGCAAGCAAGCAAAGTTTATTTATATGCAGCTTTACAGAAAAATCAGCATTACAGAAAGAAAAGAAAAAAGAAAGAAATCCGGGTCCGAGCCCCCATGAGCAAGCCAGTGGCGACAGTGGCAAGGAAAAACTCCCTAAGAGCAACAGGAAGAAACCTTGAGAGGAACCAAGACTCAGAAGGGGAACCCATCCTCCTCTGGTCGACACCGGATAGCAAACATAGTTAGTGTAAAGTATTATAGTACAAAGTGGGAAAAACAGGTGGGGCAAAAGTTCATTTGATTAGTTTATGATAGTGTAGCGGCAGCAGCAGCATCTGAGGGTAAGGACTGCACAGCGTTGTACAGCATGAAGCTCAATGTGCATTTTTTTCTTTTAAATGTGTTTGTGTGTGTCAGTTTTAGTGTGTCATTTATTTGTTGTGTGTGTGTGTGTGTCATTTTGAGTGTGTGTGATTTCTTTTCAATTTGTGTGTGGGTGTGTGTGTGTGTGTGTGTGTGGAGTGTGTGATGTCTATGGGTGGCCATTTAGGGTGAAATACACTAAAACACTCACACACACCACTGAAACACACACCACTGAAACACTCGCACACACCACTGAACCTCTCACAAACACCTCTGAAACACTTGCACACATTGCTGAAACACACACACACACACAGGAAACACTCACACACACCCCTTAGACACTTGGATGAACCACTGAAACACTCGCACACACCACTGAAACACTCACAGATACCCCTAAAACACTCGCACACACCACTGAAACACTCGCACACGCAATTGAAACACTCATACACACCCCTGAAACAGTCGCACATGCCACTGAAACACTTGCACACACCCTTTAGACACTTGTATGCACCACTGAAACACTCGCACACACCATTAAAACACTCACATACACCACCGAAACACTCACACACACACCTGAAACACTCGCACACACCACTGAAACACTCACACACACCCCTGAAACACTCGCACACACCAGTGAAACACTCACACACACTCCTGAAACACTCACACACACCACTGAGACACTCGCACACGCCACTGAAATACTCAGACACCACTGAAAAACTTGCACACACCATTAAAACACTCACACACACCAGTGAAATACTCACACACACCATTGAAACACTCACAGACACCACTGAAACACTCACACACACCACTGAAACACTCACACACACCCCTGAAACACTCACACACACCACCGAAACACTCACACACACCCCTGAAACACTCACACACACACCTGAAACACTCGCACACACCACTGAAACACTCACACACGCCATGGAAACACTCGCAAACGCCACTGACACACTCACACACACCACTGAAACACTCACAAATACCAGTGAAACACTTGCACACATCGCTGAAACACACACACACACCAGTGAAACACTCACACACACCCCTTAGACACTTGTATGCACCACTGAAACACTTGCACACACCAGTGAAACACTCACACACACCTCTGAAACACTCACACACACCAGTGAAACACTTGCACACATCGCTGAAACAGTGCAGTGTTTCAGGGCTGTGTGTGTGAGTGCAAGTGTATCAGTGTATTTCAGTGTTAAAGGCCACCCACAGATTTCTTCTTTCACTTTTTGTGTTTCTCCATTTGTTCTTCTCTCTGTCTCTGTCAGGTTCTTTGTCTCGTTTCTCCTCCACATCTCTCTCTTCCTCCATCAGTGTTCAGAGTGGAACCATCCTGTCCTCCAGACTGTTAAGGTGTACGGCACTGCATTAGATTCATCATCCAGACTTCCTCTTCCACCATCAGCGTTCCTCTCTGTCCGTGGAGGAGTGCACTCCATTCGAGGACCTTCTCTTGTGTTTTCCTCTCTCCATCCTGTCCTCCAGACTGTAAAGGTGTACGGCACTGCATTGGATATGCCATCCATCTGTTGCTGCACCTGTCTGGGACAGAACACCTGCCTGTGTTCATCCTCACAGTTCTTTATGTCGTTCTGTTCAGAAGAACCTCTTGGAAGAAAGACTTGTTGGGTTCTCTATAAAAAAACATGTTTAATAGTTTAGTGACTGTGACTAGGACTAAAAGATTCACAGTTTAGGGACCAAGACTAGGATTAAAAGATCCACAGAATAATGACCATGACTAGAAGTAAAAGATCAACAGATTAGAGACCATGACTAGAACCAAAAGATTCATAGTTTAGGGACCAAGACTAGGACTAAAAATCCATAGATTAGAGACCATGACTAGAACTAAAAGCTGCACCTGTACCTGTTCTCTTTTCCAATAAGGATGTTGTCTTGTCTTCTTGTGTCTCTCTATCTTCTTGATATCCATTTCAGCTAGAGAACAAAATTAGATAAATCAGTAACCAAGCCTTTCTCTCATAGTCTGTCCTGGGATCCTTGGTTACCATAACAAACTCTTAGCAACACCCTACCAACCACATGTACCACAGCAACCTATTATCAACCTATTATCTCATGATGCTGATTATGAGAATGGACTATTCTCATGATGGATTCCTAAGAGGTCTTTGAGGGTTTTGGTAGCCAACGTCATCTCGTTGTCTGTGTTAAAATTAATATCAGCATTAATAATATCAGCATTAATAATATCAGCGTTTACCCTGTTAACTCAGAGTGATCATGATGCTGATCATGAACATGGACTCTTCTTCTCACCCATAGCTGTGGTGTTAGATGTTCCACAATCTTGTCATCTGTTCATTTCATTTACTTACCCAGATGTTCCTTGTCAGGTTCCTCCTCAGCGTCCTCACAATTGATGCCTAGGAGGTCTTTGAGGGTTTTGGTAGCCAACATCATCTCCCTCGTCATCTCATTGTCTGTGTTAACATTAATATCAGCATTAATAATATCAGCATTAATAATATCAGCGTTCGTCCTGTTAACTCATTGATCATGATGCTGATCATAAGAATGGACTCTTCTTCTCACCCATAGCTGTGGTGTTAGATGTTCCACAATCTTGTCATCTGTTCATTTCATTTACTCACCCAGAGGTTCCTTGACAGGTTCCTCCTCAATGTCCTCCCGATGGATTCCTAAGAGGTCTTTGAGGGTTTTGGTAGCCAACGTCATCTCATTGTCTGTGTTAAAATTAATATCAGCATTAATAATATCAGCATTAATAATATCAGCGTTTGCCCTGTTAACTCAGAGTGATCATGATGCTGATCATAAGAATGGACTCTTCTTCTCACCCATAGCTGTGGTGTTAGATGTTCCACAATCTTGTCATCTGTTCATTTCATTTACTTACCCAGATGTTCCTTGTCAGGTTCCTCCTCAGCGTCCTCACAATTGATGCCTAGGAGGTCTTTGAGGGTTTTGGTAGCCAACATCATCTCCCTCGTCATCTCATTGTCTGTGTTAACATTAATATCAGCATTAATAATATCAGCGTTCGTCCTGTTAACTCATTGATCATGATGCTTATCATAAGAATGGACTCTTCTTCTCACCCATACCTGTGGTGTTAGATGTTCCACAATCTTGTCATCTGTTCATTTCATTTACTCACCCAGAGGTTCCTTGACAGGTTCCTCCTCAGCGTCCTCACAATTGATGCCTAAGAGGTCTTTGAGGGTTTTGGTAGCCAACATCATCTCCCTCGTCATCTCATTGTCTGTGTCAAAATGAATATCAGCATTAATAATATCAGCATTTTCCCTGTTAACTCAGAGTGATCATGATGCTGATCATGAACATGGACTCTTCTTCTCACCCATAGCTGTGGTGTTAGATGTTCCACAATCTTGTCATCTGTTCATTTCATTTACTCACCCAGAGGTTCCTTGACAGGTTCCTCCTCAATGTCCTCCCGATGGATTCCTAAGAGGTCTTTGAGGGTTTTGGTAGCCAACGTCATCTCATTGTCTGTGTTAAAATTAATATCAGCATTAATAATATCAGCATTAATAATATCAGCATTTGCCCTGTTAACTCAGAGTGATCATGATGCTGATCATAAGAATGGACTCTTCTTCTCACCCATAGCTGTGGTGTTAGATGTTCCACAATCTTGTCATCTGTTCATTTCATTTACTTACCCAGATGTTCCTTGTCAGGTTCCTCCTCAGCGTCCTCACAATTGATGCCTAGGAGGTCTTTGAGGGTTTTGGTAGCCAACATCATCTCCCTCGTCATCTCATTGTCTGTGTTAACATTAATATCAGCATTAATAATATCAGCGTTCGTCCTGTTAACTCATTGATCATGATGCTTATCATAAGAATGGACTCTTCTTCTCACCCATAGCTGTGGTGTTAGATGTTCCACAATCTTGTCATCTGTTCATTTCATTTACTCACCCAGAGGTTCCTTGACAGGTTCCTCCTCAGCGTCCTCACAATTGATGCCTAAGAGGTCTTTGAGGGTTTTGGTAGCCAACATCATCTCCCTCGTCATCTCATTGTCTGTGTCAAAATGAATATCAGCATTAATAATATCAGCATTTTCCCTGTTAACTCAGAGTGATCATGATGCTGATCATGAACATGGACTCTTCTTCTCACCCATAGCTGTGGTGTTAGATGTTCCACAATCTTGTCATCTGTTCATTTCATTTACTCACCCAGATGTTCCTTGACAGGTTCCTCCTCAATGTCCTCCCGATGGATTCCTAAGAGGTCTTTGAGGGTTTTGGTAGCCAACATCATCTCCCTCGTCATCTCATTGTCTGTGTTAACATTAATATCAGCATTAATAATATCACCATTATTAATATCAGCGTTCGTCCTGTTAACTCATTGATCATGATGCTTATCATAAGAATGGACTCTTCTTCTCACCCATAGCTGTGGTGTTAGATGTTCCACAATCTTGTCATCTGTTCATTTCATTTACTCACCCAGATGTTCCTTGACAGGTTCCTCCTCAATGTCCTCACGATGGATTCCTAAGAGGTCTTTGAGGGTTTTGGTAGCCAACGTCATCTCATTGTCTGTGTTAAAATTAATATCAGCATTAATAATATCAGCATTAATAATATCAGCATTTGCCCTGTTAACTCAGAGTGATCATGATGCTGATCATAAGAATGGACTCTTCTTCTCACCCATAGCTGTGGTGTTAGATGTTCCACAATCTTGTCATCTGTTCATTTCATTTACTTACCCAGATGTTCCTTGTCAGGTTCCTCCTCAGCGTCCTCACAATTGATGCCTAGGAGGTCTTTGAGGGTTTTGGTAGCCAACATCATCTCCCTCGTCATCTCATTGTCTGTGTTAACATTAATATCAGCATTAATAATATCAGCATTAATAATATCAGCGTTTGTCCTGTTAACTCATTGATCATGATGCTGATCATGAACATGGACTCTTCTTCTCACCCATAGCTGTGGTGTTAGATGTTCCACAATCTTGTCATCTGTTCATTTCATTTACTCACCCAGAGGTTCCTTGACAGGTTCCTCCTCAATGTCCTCACGATGGATTCCTAAGAGGTCTTTGAGGGTTTTGGTAGCCAACGTCATCTCCCTCGTCATCTCATTGTCTGTGTTAAAATTAATATCAGCATTAATAATATCAGCGTTTGCCCTGTTAACTCAGAGTGATCATGATGCTGATCATGAACATGGACTCTTCTTCTCACCCATAGCTGTGGTGTTAGATGTTCCACAATCTTGTCATCTGTTCATTTCATTTACTTACCCAGATGTTCCTTGACAGGTTCCTCCTCAGCGTCCTCACAATTGATGCCTAGGAGGTCTTTGAGGGTTTTGGTAGCCAACATCATCTCCCTCGTCATCTCATTGTCTGTGTTAACATTAATATCAGCATTAATAATATCACCATTATTAATATCAGCGTTCGTCCTGTTAACTCATTGATCATGATGCTTATCATAAGAATGGACTCTTCTTCTCACCCATAGCTGTGGTGTTAGATGTTCCACAATCTTGTCATCTGTTCATTTCATTTACTCACCCAGATGTTCCTTGACAGGTTCCTCCTCAATGTCCTCATGATGGATTCCTAAGAGGTCTTTGAGGGTTTTAGTAGCCAACGTCATCTCATTGTCTGTGTTAACATTAATATCAGCATTAATAATATCAGCATTAATAATATCAGCGTTCGTCCTGTTAACTCATTGATCATGATGCTGATCATGAACATGGACTCTTCTTCTCACCCATAGCTGTGGTGTTAGATGTTCCACAATCTTGTCATCTGTTCATTTCATTTACTCACCCAGATGTTCCTTGACAGGTTCCTCCTCAATGTCCTCCCGATGGATTCCTAAGAGGTCTTTGAGGGTTTTGGTAGCCAACGTCATCTCATTGTCTGTGTTAACATTAATATCAGCATTAATAATATCAGCGTTTGCCCTGTTAACTCAGAGTGATCATGATGCTGATCATAAGAATGGACTCTTCTTCTCACCCATAGCTGTGGTGTTAGATGTTCCACAATCTTGTCATCTGTTCATTTCATTTACTTACCCAGATGTTCCTTGTCAGGTTCCTCCTCAGCGTCCTCACAATTGATGCCTAAGAGGTCTTTGAGGGTTTTGGTAGCCAACATCATCTCCCTCGTCATCTCATTGTCTGTGTTAACATTAATATCACCATTAATAATATCACCATTATTAATATCAGCGTTCATCCTGTTAACTCATTGATCATGATGCTTATCATAAGAATGGACTCTTCTTCTCACCCATAGCTGTGGTGTTAGATGTTCCACAATCTTGTCATCTGTTCATTTCATTTACTCACCCAGAGGTTCCTTGACAGGTTCCTCCTCAACGTCCTCATGATGGATTCCTAAGAGGTCTTTGAGGGTTTTAGTAGCCAACGTCATCTCATTGTCTGTGTTAACATTAATATCAGCATTAATAATATCAGCATTAATAATATCAGCGTTTGCCCTGTTAACTCAGATTGATCATGATGCTGATCATGAACATGGACTCTTCTTCTCACCCATAGCTGTGGTGTTAGATGTTCCACAATCTTGTCATCTGTTCATTTCATTTACTTACCCAGATGTTCCTTGTCAGGTTCCTCCTCAGCGTCCTCACAATTGATGCCTAGGAGGTCTTTGAGGGTTTTGGTAGCCAACATCATCTCCCTCGTCATCTCATTGTCTGCATTCACATAAATAAATTTGATCATTTTTCCAGCTGATTTCATTCCTGATACATTTCCACTGACCATTTCCATTACTCACCAAAAGATTGGTCATCACCTGTTTCACCATCGTCCAAGTTGCTGTGAGGGTCCTCCTCAGAGTCCTCCAGAGAGATGCTCATGAATTTGTTGGTGGCTTCAGCCTCCGCTTCATCAGCCGCCATCTCATTTTCTGCTTTAATACAAATAAATACTTTCAGTATTCCAGCTTTTTCATTTTTATTGTAGATGTTTTATGTTCGTTACTCACCCAGAGGCTGGACATTTGCTGGACACCCCATCTGGATCTCCTCGTCAAACAGGATCTCTAGGAGCTCACTGATGGCTTTAGCTTCGTCATCATTGGTGCTCACTAGATTATCTTGAATGAATTCAGACAGATTAGAGCTCATATTAAGCTTTAATATTAATTATATGTGTCAATATCATCTCACTATTTGTTCATTTCTTTACTTACCCAGATGTTCCTGCAGATGTTCCTCCACATTGTCCTCCACTGAGATGCTCATGGGCTCATCGATGGATTCAGCTTCAGCTTCAGCTTCAGCAGCCTTCTTTGGCTGGGCACTCGCTGATAGAGCATCAGCAAACAGGACCTCCAGGAGCTCTCTGATGGCTGTAGCAGCATCATCATTGGTGCTCACTGGATGATCTAGAATGAATTCAGACAGATTAGAGATCATATTTAGCTGAATTCCTGTGTTAATATAAATTAAGGGTGTTTTCAGACCTGAAAGTCCTGATCAAAGTCCAAACTGAGGTTCATGTGTTTGTTACATTGTAATCATTTGATCCAGCTCGTTTTGGTTGCGATTTAACGAGCGCACTAAAGAACTCTGCATGACACACCTATGTCCTGATATCATCACCACCGTGGGCTGTGTCTCCCTGTACTGGACACCGATTGGTTTGTAGAGGAGAGTCTGATGTCAGCGTGTGGTCAGTTCAGCTGCTTGTCTTTTACGTTTGGAGAAAAATGTTGACTTTTGACTTTTTCGTGAGTCCAAATTACAAATAAATACACCGTCTCCTCCCCGTGAGCTACCGCGGCTCATTTTACTCTCTTCTGGTTCTTTTTCTTCCTCTATTGTTTGATGGGTGACGACAGCCTGACTCAACTTCCTATAATTGGTCCGAAAATGTGAACCATCCAAAAAAGTGCTTTCACACTGCAAATGAACCGAACCATGGCTCAGTTTGATCTGGACCAAGACCACCTCTTTTAGACCGACCAAATGTTGGCCCTTTGATCTGAACCATGGTCTGAGGAAACTTTCACACATGCAGTTTTGCTTCAGACCAACTTTAAAAGTCTGAATGTCCGGAACAAACAAAGGAGGTGTGAAAGCAACCAGAATTTGTTAGCATCATCACGACATCTGCTCATCAACTTTACTTACCCAGAGGCTGGACACTCGCTGGATACTCCAGCTGGATCTCCAGGAGCTCACTGATGACTCCAGTCTTGTCATCAGTTATGCTCACTAGATTATCTTGAATGAAGAATTAAAACAGATTAGAATTCACATTTTAATATGAACTAAATGTATTTCCACCATGACATTGTTAATTTCTTTACTTACCCAGAGGTTCCTCCAGATGTTCCTTCTCATTGTCCTCGACTGAGATGCTCATGAACGCATCGATGGCTTCAGCTTCAGCTTCAGCAGCCTTCTTTGTAATCATCTCATTTTCTGCTTTAATACACATAAATATGGTCAGTTTTCCAGTTTTTTCATTTTCATTGTAATATTTTTATTTCCTTTACTCACTCAGAGGCTGGACACTCGCCATCAGAGCTTCAGCAAACAGGACCTCCAGGAGCTCTCTGATGGCTGTAGCAGCATCATCATTGGTGCTCACTGGATGATCTAGAATGAATTGAGACAGATTAGAGATCATATTAAGCTGAATTCCTGCTTTTATTTTAACTAAATGTGTTATTATCATCGTACTATCTGTTCGTTTTCTTTACTTACCCAGATGTTTCTCCAGAGGTTCTCCAATCATCATCACTGTCTCAGTTTCTGTATATAAAAATACAGTCAAATATGACGGGCACTGAATATTATTGAGTTTTGAAAATTATTTCAAAAACACCCTCTTAAGATGTATTTTCCAGTTATTACTCTGAAATATTCAGTTCTTTTTCCAAATTATTCAGTATGAAATATGAATTTTTCCATATCTCATATGAATTCAGTATTTACTATGAATCATTATGTGAGTATTGATAATTATTCAGTCTCTGTTATGAACGTTCCATGATTATTTTGAAATATTCTTTACCTCCTATGATTTATTCACTATCCATTGTGAATTATACAGCACCTACTATGAATTATTGACTATCAGATTTTATTTATATAATGACTTCTGTGAATTATTTAGTATCTATTATAAATGATTATATATTTATTATGAATTATTTCATATGCACTACGAATTATTTACTGTCCACTATGAATATTCAGTATCCACTATGAATTTTTGAGTATCAGCAATGAATATTTAGTGACTACTACAAATTAATCTATGAATTTTACAGTGCCTGCTATGAAGATGTGGTGATTCCTATGATTGTTCAGTATGTACTATGAACGCTACTATATCCACTATGAATTATACAGTATATATTACAAATTATAATGTAACTACTACAAATTCTTCTGTATGCATTATGAATTTTTCAGTAACCATGGTGAATTATTTAGTGTCTACTATTAATATTTAGTGACTACTATGAACTACTTAGTCTTCATTATACATTATTTATTATTTGCAATGAATTATTCAGTATCTACTTTGGATATTTAGTCACAGCTATAAATTATTCAGTACCCACTATGAATTTTACAGTGTCTACTATGAATATTTGGTGTTCATTACTTTTATTCAGTGTCTGTTATGAATATTATCTCATTAACTCACTCAGAAGCTGCTCCATGTGTGTCTCAACCTCATCCAGCAGCGTATTCATTAGACGTTTTTTGGTTTCATCCGTCTCTTCAGTGAGGTTCTGCTGTTGTGGAGGTGCCGTGTTCTCCGGCGTCTCAGGAGAGATGCTTTTAAGGCTGCCGGACACGAGGCCTACTGGCAGGTCCACAACATCAGCCTCTTCCTCCAACTTTGCTGGCTGCTGGATTGTTTGGCTCCTTTTTTCTTCTTCTTCTTCGTCTTTGTTCTTGTTGTTCTTCCTTGCTTTCTTCCACTGCATCTTCCATTTCCTCCCGCTCCTCTTCTTCTTTCCTTTCTTTCTCTTCTCACTCTGCTGCTCCTCCTTTCTCTCGCTGTCTGTGTCCGAGTCCTCATGGACTCGGCAGCACAAGAACCAGAGGCAGCTCATTGTAGCAGTTGATCTCTTCGCGGCTCCACATGGAATGTTGTGGAACAGCCGTGTGACGGAACTTATCTGCATCACCTTTATGACATCACAGCCTGTAGCCTTTAGTCCATTATGACGTCAGAGCACATTGTACATTATATTACGCTCACTGCTGACCAATGAGGGAGAAGCTACAGTCAAGTGGACAGAATGTAGTGACCCTTGAGGAAGAGAAATACATTGAAAACACTTCATCATAACTTTCAATAACATACCATTAACTAATGATCAATAGCTGTGAACCAATGATGAGTTCATGAGAATTTGAAAATGAACAAATGTCTACAAATGACAGTTCATGTAGTTACCAATGCATGTATTCATATTTACAAATATGTTAATGAATCACTTGCTCATCAGAATTGGAAAATGAATAAATGACTAGATAATGAGGCTTTGAAAACGAGCAAATGTTCATCAATGATAGTTCATGTTGCCAATGTGTCCATTCATACTTTCAAACATGAACAAATCATTAGTTTTTAAGAATTTGAAAAGGTTCATAAGTTCATGATTGGCAGCTTGTGTATAACAGTGTGCTGTCTCAGAACAGTGTGTGGCGCTGCTACAAGTGTATAACACACAACGGTGCTGCTGTGGTTCTACATACCTCAGTGTCACTGCTAGGCTGAGAGGGCTCCAACCCCCAAAGGTATCCAATCAAGAGCAGCTCTGTGCTCCTGTTCACCTACAATGTGCTTCAGCAAGGCAGATGTGTCTAATAAAGTGACAGCAAGTCTGTATTATGGCTAAATATTGAGGTAAGATATAATAATCATATAATCAAAAAAGATCTTTTAGTTCTGGGCCCTTTTCAGTGCACAAAGTAAGTTAAAACGGTTCATAATTAGATTATATGTACTTACAAGTCATGAATAAATATGTATAACTCATATATGCATCAGTTATAGACTTTTTTGCAGTACCTGAACTAAAGTTGAAACTCTTCATTATTGGTCAATATTTCTAAAGGCTTACAACCTATTAGTGAATATGGACTTTCATATGCATGTTAACACATTATCACTCCTAACATACACTCATGTATGATTGGACGTCTCCATACAATAATTCGTAATTAAGAAACATTAATTGATTATATATAAACCTTTTGACAGTACCTACTCCAAAGTGAACCACGTTCACTATTTCTTAAATGCTGTAAATGTTTATCAGCCACTGGCATTTAACACATATTTATCATCAGTGAATTCAAACTAGGCCAAGAGTGAAATTAAACAATGACTTTAATTGGCTTTTGCTCACCAATTACAAATAAACAATGAATAATAATAATAATAATTAATAATTAATAATAAGGATTAAAGCATGTATTTAGAGAAGAAAAATACATTTTATGGTTCTTTTTATTAGATTTTATTATATCTACCAGTAAACCCACTTAATTTTTTTAAATATTTTTTTCAAATATTTCCATTATTTAAGCAATTTCGAATAACAAAAACACATTAAAACATTTCATCATGTATAAATAATAATTCATTATGAAAAGTACTTTTCTCATCATGATATTCAAGAATTTTATTAGATGGTCATCAGTGCAGTCCTGTTGTGGATCTTTTTCCACGATCACTCAGAATCTGGTAACACTTTCTATGAATGTCACGTTTATAAGAATCTATAAACACATTCATAACGCATTATAATGCATTCATAAGGCATTATAGACATGGCTATACATATTTATAAAAATGCATAACACGTTATAGCTATGTTTATTATGCATTATGAATTGCTATCATAATGCATTAGAAGCTGTGTTCATAATATGTTATACGTCAATACCAAAGGAATTCAGTCCCAGCTGGCATAGTGCATTATAACTAACAAAGCTGCCTACTTATGAACACACACATGAATTATACATATTTTGAGTGGCTTATAGTTATTTATAATGTATTATAACACGTATTTGTACGTTCCAAGTAAAGTGGTAGAATTTCATCATGGGAATAAATTATTAATGACAGATCTATGATATTTTAACTCAGTTTTAAGTTGTGTTTGTGAGTTTAAAGTAAAAGAAGGCATATTTCATACAAAATAAAGTTTATTTAAACCAATACTAAAATTGTTTAACTTCTCAGAATATTAGTAAAGTTCAAATTTTCTTAAACCATAAAAAGATTTAAACTAATGTCAGACATTTACTGCAATTAACAGCTTGAGCACTAAATAATAAACAGTCTGTTGTACTGTTGTAAAAAAAGAAAATGACTAAAACCAAACATTTCATGCACCTACTAAGACCAGGGACTGAGAGATAACTTAAGTGCTGATTTTTTTCAGCAGTTACACAATGCATATTTCCTAATGTCATGCAGCAGGCGGCCTATTATGTTAAACCTACGGCGCCTTCCCAGCCAGTACTCCCACTCAATCACCTTCAAATGTTCTTTCAAGAGTTCTGTGGTACGGTTTCCACGATGCCTCCATACTTCCACCTTAAATGTCTGCCATGCACGTTCCAAGTGTTGTGTGTGGGCTCTGGTGTTAGGGTCCAGAAAATGTCTTTTGTGGCATACAGTGTGATGCTGAAATTCTGCATCTGTCAGGGCCTGCTGATAGGCTCGCCATTCATCTGTGATGATTTGAGAGCCGCTTCTCACGTGTTGCATAATGGTTGGCAGGAGGTCTTCTCTTGAACGGCCTTTCACCACCTTCAAAACTGGCCTCCTTGACTTTGGCCTTACTTCTAGTAACCCCAGGACCCACTTTTTTGTGCGATGCCAGGCAGGTCCAAAACGTCCCCTGTTGGACAGCAGGAAAAATATCAGGAACATCTTTTTAACAACAAAATTAACCTTACACTTTACCCAGCTTGACTACTCTTGTCTTAGTAAATGTTGACAAACAAAAAATATATGAACACTCACTTTCCTACTGTATCTACAAGTCCTTTTATCAGATCCAGTTATCAGAAAGAAGCATTTTGTACATCTTCAGTTATAGATTGAAATCCATCTGTTTCTCTGCCTTGCTTGTTAGTTAGCTTGTCTTTACTCTGTTCATCGATGGTCAGCTGCATTATTCTCACTGCACTGCAGTAACACTGACATGGTAGTGTTTTGTGTGTTCGTGTGCAGCCTATACATAGTGGATCAAAAACAGCACTATGCTGTTGCTGGGGTCACTGTTGGGCTGAGAATAGTCTGTATACAGCCAACAGGTGGTCCTGAAAACAGAAACTGATGAAGGACTAGAGGATGACTAACACAGATTGTGCAGCATCAGATAAGTTATCATCTCTAACTTTACATGGTGGAACAACAAGGTAGGTATGGAGAGTAAGCATGCAGTTTTTAAAAACTTCAAACCTGTACCAACATAAAACACACAAACATGCCACTACCTTGTCAGTGTCACTGCAGTGCTGAATGATCCACTACCCAAATAGTACCTGCTCACTGATGATCCTGTGGGCTCCTGACCACTGAAGAACAGGGTAAAGCATGCCAAATAAATAAATTCTACACAAAAACAGATGGACCTCAGCCTTTTACTGTAAAACTACAAAATGCTCTTATAGAGTAAGTGAACCTGATAAAATTGACAGTGAGTGCAAATATAAGGTAGGTGGATAAACAAATTAAGTGGCAAGTGAGTGCAAATTATATAGAAAATTTTTAATTAACTTAAATATTTTTAAACAGTAAAATATAATGAGCATGCAATACTCACTTTCCTCTTATGGGAGAATTTGCTCTCATCCAACAACACAAAACAATGTTGCCCACCAATCTTCATATTGCCTTGATGCCTTCTTTTATCAATAGCTTGAATGCATACCTAAATATGTAAAATAATAGCTGTCCTACTAAAGTCCTGAAAATTATTCCATGAAGATATACAAAATGTTACAAAATGACCCTACAAAATAATTGCACCTTGAAAAGGTATAGACTACCTTTCTCAGTGTGGATGCCATCCTACTTAGCGTTCTGCTGCCGTGTGCTATGCCGTCATCCATCATATCTGTTTGCCTGAGCCGCAGTCCTTGAGAAAACCTTGAATTGATATAGATATCTCATTTAAAATGAAAGAGAAACATCAAACAGAAGATAAACTCATATGAACTAAGATTTTAATTGTAGTAGACTATGTTCTAAGACCCTGTTTGCCAAAACAGACACACACACACACACACACACACACACACACACACACACACACACACACACACACACCTGTAGATGAACTCCAAATGGCAATTTTACAGTAAAAAACTCCAGAGGCATCACACAAAGATACAAGGCAGCTCTAGAAGCCTTCAAACAGGGAAAATCAATGAAAAGGGCGTTTGAAGCTGTTGGTGTTGATCGCAACACAATATGCAGGACAGCACCAATTGCTGAGCTCAGTTTAGCAGCACCTGATGCATTCAGAGCTATTGGTCAGTGGAATGACAAAACAGAAAAACTCTCCTCATTCATTGATAGATGTCGCAGTGCAATGACCAGTGAGATTAAGAAGAAAATAACTGGAATGAAAGCCAGTGGTCAGCTACTGCCCATTTCTAACTAATATCTCAAAACAAGATTGAGAGCTCTCCCTTTGTGGTAATATTTGAATGCTTCAGGTTTTGCCACAGAAATTTATTTTGTAGTTTATCTGTTACATAGAAAATACAAACATGTTTCAATGAGGAAAAAGAGATTTACGTTTGTGTTAGTTTTGAGCATTGTTGTCACCTGAAAGAACTTTTTTTTTCTGTTAAAAAAAGAAAAGAAATGCTGCATAATTGTTGAAAACACTTGTATTTAAGTTACCTCACAGCACTGGTTTTGTTTTAGTACTTGTTTTACTTTAGAACACTGGAAATGCTGTGGATTTAATAAACTTTATGTTACTTTAAAACATGCCTCACTTTACTTTAAGCTCACAAATACTTTTAAAGTCTTTTAACTGGATTAAAATGTTATGTATCTTTCAGTAATAATCTATTCCCATGCTGAAGGTTTGTCACTTTACTTGGAGCGTACAAAGACATCTTATAATACATTATAAATGACTCATTAGTAAATCTATTCCCATGATAAAAAGCATATAAACTCTGTAATGTTACTTTAAGCTCACATAAGGTCTTTAAACCTAAAGTTAAAATATCATAGATCTGTCATTAATAATTTATTCCCATGATGAAATTCTACCACTTTACTTGGAACGTACAAATACGTGTAATAATACATTATAAATAACTATAAGCTACTCAAAATATGTATAATTCATGTGTGTGTTCATAAGTAGGCAGCTTTGTTAGTTATAATGCACTATGCCAGCTGGGACTGAATTCCTTTGGTATAACATATTACGAACACAGCTTCTAATGTATTATGATAGCAATTCATAATGCATAATAAACATAGCTATAACGTGTTATGCATTATAATGTGTTATGAATGTGTTTATAGATTCTTATAAATGTGACATTCATAGAAAGTGTTACCATAATTTATTTAGATTATTTAACGTTTAAAAATGATTTAAATCAACAACTATGCATTCCGATAGGTAGCGTTCTCCTGACATCCTCTAAACCTAGATTCATCCATCAGACTGGTACATAGTGAAATGTGATTCATCCCTCCAGCGAACATGTTTCCACTGCTCCAGAGTCCAGTGGCGGTGTGCTTTACACCACTCCAGCTGACACTTAGCATTGCACGGATTGACCTTAGGTTTGTGTGAAACCTTTGGAAACCCATTTCATGAAGCTCCTGATGCACAGTCATTGCATAGTTAATAAAATGTTGGTCCCTAATGTTTTATTACAAAAAGCATTCCATAGTTGGGCCAAAAACTTTAATCGCAATAAGAGTAGCCAATCTGCAGGTCAGCTCAGTAACATCACAAATGAGGAATAAATCTTGCATAGCAGTGCTAAACACCATTTTAAGATGTTTTGAGAAGAGAAGTGGTGCTCTAATTCCACTTGGTGAGAACTTCTGTAGTTCGGCTTTTGGCCGTCATCTGTTATTGGCTTACATTACATTTGAAGTTTTAGTAGAAAAGTTTTATTTTATTAAAGAAGTGCTGTACTATTTCAATATGAATATGATATACTTTATACTTTATGATATACTTTAGAAGCTTCAAGCTGATTTATTTTAAAAATGGTAACAACTGTTAACAGAACATAATTTATGACAGGACAGGTTTAATAGAGGCCTAAAACTAAGATGAATCCTTACTGAAGTTGCTGCCACACAAAACCCACAGTTAAAGCACTGTCAGATCTCCCAGCTCTGAAGGAGAGGCGAGTCATTAATAACGCTCTAATAGTTTTAGCAAGCAAGTTTTAAGAACCTGTCTGAGTTTCTTAAAAGCACTATTTCACTAAACTCATTATAAAACTGTGTGAAGAACAACACTGAACATAACAGCTAGGAAATAAGATGAACTTAATGACAGCACTCTGTTTCCAAGCAGCTCCTAACCATAGCCTCTAGCTGTCTGTTTCATCAAAGCTGTCAAATGATCTCTGGTGGAACGTGTAAATGCAGAGAGTCGAACCTGTTGTGCGTTTCCCAAAAAATGCAGTTTTCTAACTGTGATAAGTTCCTTCTGAAGAACAAATAAACATTCACAGAGTTGTGTAGATAGAACGACAGTTCCACCCCTGTCGTCTCGCACCGGTGCAGTCCTGATGTGGACTAAGGTGCAGATGTGTTCCGTGGTCCTGATTGGTACCTGTTTGGTTGCTGTAGTGGTTCTCAAACTGGGGGGGCTGCAGGGAGTGCAAAGCAGCTGCAGACAAATCTCAGCAGTGGGTTCTGCTTAGTCATTTTTAAATGTTTCAATTAATTAACTCTGCTTCAGCTATGTCTTAAAGTGGTGCTTGTTTAAAACTTAAACGTAAACGTTATTAAAATTAAAAAAAATTGGGGCCAATTTTAACACAGTTCACATCTTCCCCGCACCACTTAACCTGTTATCTGTAATGTCAAAAATCAGAGCAGTTGCATGTGCAGGTTAGAGAAAGGTGCAGCTCAAGCCCGCATAAATGGATATGGTTCTGGTAAAACAAGTTCTTCAGGGGGCTGGGAAAAGGGCGAAGTACGGGGTGGGGGAGGGGACGTGCGCAGTGGCACTTACTGTTGACAAAAAGGGCCTTAGACTAAAAAAGTTTGAGAACTGCTGCTGTTGGGTGATTCCTTGTTGCTTTTTCATGCTTGTTCGTACTCTTCTTTAAAGAGTATGAAGTTTAATAAATGTAGCTCAATCAACCTTTCAGTGAAAAAACAAAAATTCTATCAAGATCTTTTAATGTCATCTAGTGAGACACACATAAATACCTCAACATTTTATTCAGAAACAGGCATATAATAACACAGTGATGCACAATAATCGTCACATTCTTCACAGGCCACAATATAAGCATGAGCTTTTCATGGTAAAGCACTAAAAGAAAATTAATGACGTACCTATTGACAACGTAGCCTAAAGCCAGAGTCCTACGTAGCCTGAAGCCCTGCTATGATAAATAGCTCAAACTTAACTGACACACTAGGCTACACTGGTAACAGTTGCTCTCTCTGGGCTTCTTCTCATTCACCCTTGCATTAATGAACTCAACAATAAATTTCTAACATGTTCTGGGACTCTTACAGTATCAATCAGCGGATCCTGAGACAGGAGAATGATTTCTGATTATTCTGTCATAGTGTTTGGTCTCCAATCAACTCAGTCAGCACAGACATGAGCTCCCTCTGTGGTCCATCCAGAGGAGCACTGATCATCTTCTCACTGAGGGGGAAGGACGGCAGGTCACTCCTCTGGGACGTCTCTGAAACTACTGTTCACTCATTTGGCCAGAAGATGTCAGTCTAACATCCATTTACAGGTTACAAGGTCAAAAACAGGATCAACTAAGAAAGCAACACTTTAAATAAACTGATCAAAACTATAAACACAACACTTTTACTGAAAAGAGTCGACTGACATTACGAACATGAAATATGAATATAATGGAATGAATGTAAGAGTTCAAAAATTCAGCTTATTTCAATTCTCCAAAACATCAGCTAATTATAAAGTCATGGAAAGAAACGGTTCATGTAAGACTCACCACGGAAATCAAAGTGTTTATCCATACTCCAGCGCTTCATTTCACTGCTCTCTCTCTCTTTTCTCACATCACACTCATCAGCCTCTTTCTCACTGACTGAGGAGGAACCACATTAAAACATTTAATTCATTATAAATGATACACACTCAAGGCGTAGAATTACTTATTTTCAATATTTTCTGTACATGACAAGGATTTTAACACGTTTTTGGCAACATTTAATTTTGCAAAGGCTTTCATTTGTGAAATGAACAGTGAGTGAAGTATTGTGGTGTGTTAAGTGGGTGATTTATCACAGGGAGCCACAGAACATGATGCGTTCTGTCAGAACACGTCAGTAACAGTGACTGATTCCATAGATCTGTTTCTCATTGTTACTCTGATAGGCCTCTAACAGTCGTCATCAGTTATCATTGGTTAATCTAAAAACTTCTGTCCAATGACAGGCTGGTTCCTTAATTTTGTTCTATATTCAGTATTATATGTTCATTGTAAATTCTTTATTGTCACTTCATATTGCCCTTGTTGCCTTAGACTAAAAAAGTTCATGTACTTGAACTCCTGTAGAATTGAAGTCTTTTATATGGATGCAATGAACATATTGATAAGCTTCTTAAGTGACATCAGATTTTTCCAGTGGTGGACAGTAACTAAGTAAATGTAATTCTTTACTGTACTTAAGTAGTTTTTCGTGTATCTGTACTTTACTGAAGTTTTTCCATTTTGGGTGACTTTTTACTTTCACTCCACCACATTTCAAAGTCAAATATCTCACTTTTTACTCCACTACATTACGAGAAATCTGTCGTTCCTTTTGTTTTATGTGTGTATAAAAACGTAACATGTCAAAATGAAAGAAGCGCAAAGCAAGAACACCAATCAGGGCACAGGGGTCACTTTGTTTTGAGCTTGTTTTGACCTGTTGGTCATACCGACCCAGTGCAGCACACGGTTCAACATCAGTGCAGCAGTGTAAAATATTGGGAGAGTCTATTCAACATAAATGATGAACTAACCTAACTTTGTGTAAATAGACCACAATATAGAAATATGTACACATATGCAGTTGTGACTGACGTGTCTTTATTCTGAATTTATACAAACACTATTTCATTTTATAGTGAATTTGTTTTGGCTAGTTTATGTTTATGAACAGAGACCTACAGATGCAGTTTAGTAAAGGAAAACTCATTTGTGAATCTGAGTTTAAAGCAAGTTTTTATTAAACTTAAACTTGTAACTAAGTTGCAAATAAATCTTAAACTGAAACTTTGCTTGTTTGTAAAAAGTTATTTCAGAGCCACTCAGTTCTGCTTAATGGAAACTGTCTGCCTGCAGTGTTTTGTGCTTATGATAATTTTAATAGACATCAGCGTCACTAATTAATAACATTCTATTAAAAGACTGGTTTGAGAGTGACGCTATTTTCACCTAAAATTATTTAATGAAGCAGAGTCTTGTTACAAAGATGATAATAGAACATTAAAGCCATAATTCATCTTTTAGTACTTTTACTTTCGATACTTAAGTACATTTGAAGGCAAATACTTTTGTACTTTTACTCAAGTGGAGGTCTAACGGGAGGAACTTCTACTTTTACTGGAGTAATATTTTACCTTGGGTATCTCTACTTTAACTCAAGTACATGATTTGTGTACTTCGTCCACCACTGGATTTTTCCGAAGAGCCTGTAAAGGGGGATGGTCATTTCACAAGAAGGACCTTCCTCAAGCAACCTTCCTCAAATTGAGCCCTGCATGTGTCATGGTACAGCCTTAACTGTGGACTTATTTACACCCTTGTAGAAAGAAAAGAGTATAATTTACATCTCTCACAATTCAATAAACATTTAAATAATAACATTAACACTGTTTAAGATATTTGGTTTGAGGTCAGTAACATATATGATAGTTAATGTTTCTTATTTCTTTGTCTTTCTATCAACACATGTTGACAGTTTTGAACTTAGCATCAAATGTAGTAAATCAGTAAATATGGCTGATTTTTATTAGAAAATCTGAAGATTTCCATAATATCTCAGTTTATGTTAAGAGTGTGAGAGTCCAGTCCTAGAAGTAACAGCACAGGAGAGTTTAGCATTCAGCCACAACATGCCTGATTCATCTCATGAGCTCAGTGTCACAGCCTTCAAGAGCTGAATTTAATGTTTTAATAAGAAAACACTAATCTTGAAAAGACTAGAAACCAGGACTGAGTTTCAATACAATATAAAACTAGACTCACAGTTTAAGTTCTTGCTTGTCTGTTGGATGGTCATGGCTTTATGTTCGTCTCTCTTTACAGTCGACATTCTATCTTCTTTTCTGTCACCTGAGGCTGTGCAAAGATCAGTTTCAGTTAAAACACACACAAACACTCAAAATTCCAGTAAATAGTCAACTGTGCATTCAGAGCAGAGCTTAAAAAATTGAGCTGTATGCGGAAGTGATGACACAGTAGGCAGTGTTGTTACAGTTTCTTGTTTACAAAACTGATAAATTGGCAAAGACAATCACCACGTTAGAATTATGATTCAGATTGCAGGCTAAAGATTCTGTTACCACTTGAGTAGCTTGTTTGTGCTTCATTCAAAGCAAGAAAACTGTCATGAACCCACACCAGCAGGATTTTATGAATGCACATATACAATCAGATTATGTGTGAATGAAGTGAATGGCTCAAAGCTAAATATTTTAAAGACATTTCACATATCACAGACTTATACAGCTGTTTACCCTGTGACAAAAGCATATTTCATACATGTAAACCATATGGGTTGACACCTATGACAGTACACAGTACTATGCTTGCCACAGTATTTAAATGTGATGGGATGTTACAGTTTTGGACTGTAGAAAAAACACCAATAAACTGGAATTACGGTGTTAGTCTGTGAAGAAACTTTTCACTATTTATCAAACATATAGTAAACATAAAATTACAGTCAAGTCAACAAAAGCACACTGAATACTTAACAGCAGTTATTTGTAGTGCAATAAATGTAAATTGAAAAGTTAACTTATTGTTATTATTATTGGAGATGCACATAAAATATGTTTTAATTTTATGGTGTTGATATTAGCTCTTCTGCGTTGTGGTCAAAATAAATTTCCCAGTGTCTGACAAAGCCTCTTTTCACTAATCCTATATATTTTTATGTATATATTTTGATGTATTTATATTTTTATGTCCCCCGTCTCTGGTGTGAGTAACATTTGCACTCATGTTGCTTTTGGCAGAGTTGTTCAACAACAGTATTTGCTCAAAACAAAGTTTACATTTGCATTTTGTGGCAAAAAATGTCCACGGCACATCTTTGTTCACAGTGACACAACATGCTGTGAAACTGCAAACCCGTCTGAATATGCACAATCAGGAACTGTTCTACAACCATGAATTAACCCCAAAATCTATAAATGTTCACAGCAGACAAAACAAACATAACAATTTTTAAATAATGCACTGCTCAACTGGTGTGGTGAAAACTCAGCAGTCTGCCTCTTATAGTACACATAATGATCTCATAATAACTTTTACAAAAGCACATGTAGGCAAACGAATCAGAACACAACCTTATCTAACAAGTGACTGTGTAGACTTAGACTGCATGTTTAAAGTCCTTACAGTTAAAGGTAGTTTCACTACAGCAGCTGTTTCAGACTGTTCTATGCACTTTCACCACCATAGCTTTTCTCCAATTTTTTGCTAGGATTACTTGGTTTCTGGCCATGTTCATGTTGACAATTTCACTATGTACCATCTTCTAATTGCTGCTTCCAGCATGATAATACACCATGTCACAAATCACAAGTCATCTCAAACTGTACTTCAGTGGCCTCCAGAGTCACCACATAGCGCAGGGCTGCTCAGTCCTAATCCTGGAGCTCTACCACCCTGGAGAGCTGATAAATCTGCAGCGTTCGCATGGTGCCATAATGTCCACATGGACTAGAATCTGTACGGAATGGCTCCAGCACCTTGTTGAATCCATGCCACAAAGAGTTTAGACTCTTATTCAGGCTGTCTTTACATACTTTCTTAATGACAGGTTAAACACTGTCTCATTCCCTCTTCCAAGACAACAACATCACAAAACTGTCTATAGTCCTTAGTATGTTGTAAAACCCACCTGTACAGTTCTCTGTGGGGTATCTCAGTTCTTCCTGGATAGCTCCATTCACATTTGTTAAAGCCTTGGTTCTTCTTGGTTCTCTTGGTTCTTTCTTTCCTCCTACATTTTCTCTTTCCTTTCTCCTGGTAATCCAAATTTATTTTCCCCTCCAACAGCTGTTCTTCTCCAGCAGCTCTCTCTGCAGTGCTCTTCAGAAACTCTGGTACTGTAACTGTAATCCAACTGTAAAAAACATGCAGTGTTAACTCTGGTTGTCTTACTTCTGCTTTCTTGTCATTTTCAAAAAAGGAAGTAACCAACAGAAGTGGTTGTTAACATATAAAAAAAATGTCAGACAGTAAACTGAAAAACACCACATTTCCAAATGATCTTGTACAATGAGCTACAGTTCAATGTCTTATTGCTGATGGATACTTTATGGGTAACTTATTAATAATGAATGTACAGTTGAACGTACAATGAATGTAAGTTATTTGATATAAAAAGACAGCTGAAGCCCCAGGATAGAGTTCAGATACAGCTCCATCTGGGTTTACCAAAGACTGTGAAAAACAACATTTCACAATAGAAGAATATCTACAACATGAATATTCAGCTCCAGTTCTGTTCGACTGGTTTCCAGCACAGTCTGATGATCTCTCCACTCAAACACACCTGGTACAACTCATCTGTTCATTGTCAGGTCTAGTAGGTGAGATTCAGCAGGAAAATCCTCAAACTTTATGTTACAGTACTTCCAGTACTACAGTACAAACAGTATAAATAGGTTGGGCGATATTGTACAGCATCATTGATGTTTTTCTTACCTTATCAAAATGTACAGATTTAAAGGGATTATTCTCCGCTATTCTGACTAATAGAATACAAATATTTAAGCTCTCTGAAAACAAATCAGGCTAAAACAATGAGATCTCTATAAGCTGGATCTAAAAGACTGCAGTTTCCACGATGCAGTGTGGTAGACAGGAGCTCCCAGAGGCGTGTTTACCTGTGAGTGTGCAGGTTTTGCAGTGGGAGTTTTGAGTTTGTACTTGAACAAAAACAGTCCCATCCTTTTGCTCTGTATCTGAGTGTAAAATGTACAGGAAAGCTAAAAGAAGGAGGGTCACCTGCCATTATTTACCAGAAGACACCAAACTTCACAATGCTTACAATTCAAAACCCAGACATCCAAATGAAACAAAACAGAGAATCAAATATGAGTGTGGACTCAATATTATAGTCTGAAAGATGATGAACATGACCTTCAAGCAGAGTTCAGAAACTGTCATTCCTTTAGTTTTTTTGGGGAATGTGAAGGATTCTGTGATAGAGGATCCCAATCAGCATCTCAGACACTTCTTTAACGAATGACATGTCTGAGTCTGAGAGGTCAGCACTGCTTTTCTGCTCACTGTAGAATGATTTTCTACAGCAGACTGAACAGTAGACTGATTTTCCTCATTATATAGGCAGGTGATCATCTGTGTATACCCAATTGTATTGTGGTGCCCGTCACAGGCTGCACTGCTGTGGAGAGACTTAGAGGCCCTGCAGAGAGGCTTTCAGGAGGTAATCAGACTCCAGCCAGAAGAGGGAAGTTGGTTTTATCTGTTGTTGTTGTGTGTCGTAATGTGGGACATTTGGGTTGTTAGATTGTGTCAGTGGACAGTGGGCTTTGTGTGTGAGTTTGTCCCCTCTCCACACGTTTTGTGTCTTCCCATGTTACTCGTGGGACGGCCAACACAGGAGGACGTGACAGCTCTGTGTTTGGGAAGTACTGGGCTAAACTTTTCACTGCCTCTGTTGAATTCCCTGATCAAAATAACAGAGCATTTGCCCGTCTGTGCAGTGTTGTCCATGTCTTCTTCTACAGTGTTGTGCATTAGATGCTTTAGAAAATGTGCATTCAGAGGTGTGAATGTCACGGCTGAGTAAAGTCTGCATTTCCTGTTTGAGTAAAGTTGTTCTGGGAGCAGCAGATACTTGTTTAATTCCTGATGTTTAGAGCTGACAGGCTGAAATGTTAGATTAAAGTCTGGTTAGATTGCTTTATTCTCTGTCGTTGACTAAGTTTCATATCTCTATTTTCTGGCTCCAACATGTTTGGTCAGACATCTGTACACAGGAGGTCTGTATGGGGCCGAGAGTCAAAATATGACTACAGAAAAGACCATTTCTAGACCTGCAAAGTTCATTAAAATGTGATGAAAACATAGATCTTGATATGTGAAATCAGTGAACTGTGCCTTTAATAATACAGAGTACAGCATCCACAGTGTGTTTTAAAGACTAATACAAACTGAACCTAACTGTGACTGACAGGTGCTGTATCAATAATATCTATAATAATCAATACAGACACCTTCCAATGTGAGGAATGTCGAGGCAGTCTGACCAGAACATCTTAAGCTTTTACTAACACATTTAGATTTAACCTCCAAACATCTACCTCTTTTACTTTGAGCTGCTTGTAACTTCATACATTATCATACAGCCTAAACCAGACTAATATTCACATTAAAGAAACACTGTTTGAATAGATGTGATGAAATATGGTCACAGTGGTTAAAGACAACTTCAGGAGGCAGGACTGAACGTCCACAAGGCCTTTTATCAGCCCTCCACTCATCAGAGTGCAACATGATGACACCACAAAGGCCTGAGAACAATACAGGAATACATTAACACATGCAGGCAGAATATGTAAAATGTCAAAATGTAGCCCACTGTGTTGTTCAACTCGCCCCACCAAGACATGAACACAGGCTTGTAGATGATATTCAGTTTATTCTGCAGTGATTACAGCAACAACAACATGAGGCTTTATTCATACTGTGGTCAGTTTATCCGTTCACAGATATACTTACTATTAACAATGTCAGATAAATTATACAACCTAATAATTACATGTCAACACACTGCAGTCTGTGACAAATATACAGTACATTTGTGAATATGACATATTAGTTGAGTTTTACTTCAACATCTTCCTATGACAAAGTAAATGAATACAGAAAATAAATGAACGCAGTACTGCCATCTGGTGGTAAACTCCAAAAATGTCAACGTCAATGTCAAATTTATTTATAGAGCGCATTTAAAAACAGCAGCTGTTGATCAAAGTGCAGTGTAGGAAAACACAAAACCAGTTAAATAATAAAAAAGACAATACAACCAGTAAGTTTGTAACAACAACAAGAAAGATGAGTAACTCTAACACTGAATCAAAAGTCCAAGAATAAAAATGTGTTTTTAGATGAGATTTAAAAACAAAGTGTAGGGCCGTCTAACATGCAAAGGGAACTCATTCCAGAGTTTAAGGGCTATAACTGAAAAAGCACGATCTCCCCTGTGCTTCAACCTTCATTTAGGAATGAAGTTATAAAAAGGAACTGGATGAGTTAAAAACAAAATAACAACCCATCCAACCTCACAGCTAAACTAACCCTCTATAACCTCTGTAGCTTCTAGACACAGCCTGTATCAGTTAAACTGGAGTTAGAAAAGAAATAAAGAAATATTGACAGTGAATATTTTCAATGTATGATTTCTGTTCAAATTATACTGTCTACAAGTTTTAGTAAATAATACATTTAAATGCTAATATAAAAAGGAAGGAGAATGAATAATTGTGTGCAAGTAGTAAATATTTACACTCTCTCATTTTGCTGATAGTCAATACTGACCTCTTCAGTGTGAACAGACTGAATAACATACAGAATACAGTAACTACAGTGTATTTAAGGTCTAACAGAAGTATATCATCACTGTGAGTAACAGGTGCTGCATCTGTGACTCAGCAAGGCTGATATTAGTGATGAAATCTTATTAAAATAAAGAGTTCAACTCAAACACCTTGTACTAAATCAAATATGAGTCCAGTTTAAATAGAAACTATTGTGGTGTCCGGCCACAGGCCACACGGCCGTAGGAGGGCAGGAGGCGAGACCGAGCAAAGCAGCCATGCGAAAAGGCTCTCGGGAGGCGCCGTGTTCTCCCGGTAGGAGAAACATTTATGTTCATTGTTGCTGTTGTGTGACTGTGAGTGTAGGCGGTTGGTGTCAGTGTTAGTGCCCACCATGAGAAGGAACTGTAGGGCTAAAAGGGACCTGCCTGCTAACACAGTTCTCTTTTCCTGTGGTGGAGCTGAGTGTCTTGTTGGACATTCAAGGTGACGGTGCAGATGGTGCTGTTCTCTCTGCTATAACACATTTATTAACACATCAGTTCAGTATAAAGTCCTTCAGGAGGTCAATCAGGTGTTTGTGATCAGAGAAAAGACTAAACTGTGCAGGACAGAGTCTCACAGGACTGGACATGGTCAGCACTGAGGAACAGAAGACTCACCTCAGAAACGATAAAGTCGATCCAGACTGGAGCTTCTCCTTTTTTCACTGCTCTCTCTCTCTCTCCTCACATCACACTCATCAGTTTCTTTCTCTCTGTCTGAGGAGGAACAACATCAGATCAGATTAGACGTTTCTTTAAACTGTAATCTGGAGCTGTAGAGTCACACAGACACACGATCGTCTCAACATCACTGATCTTCTGTTTAAAGAGTGGAGAAAATGCAGCGTGATATTTTTTGCGAGATTTTTCAAGTAAGAACACATCAGATATTTAGTATAGACTGTCTACAAAAGCAAAGTGTGTTAATCAGTCAGTGTAAAATAATAATAAAATACACCGACCTTGAACCTTTCAGCCTGTCAGGCTTATTTAATACATCATTTCATTAATAAATATTTATTCTGTTTGAATAAATAAATCACTCTACAGATGATAATAAACATATTTAAACAAATGAAACCCAGCAGACTGTAGAGGGAGCAGCAGCAGGAACCTAATCTACAGATTAAACCATCTGACAGTTAAAAGACCAAAATGATGGCAGCAAATTAATTGGACAAGAACAAGAAGAGCTCATATATATGAACATACTTTCTCCGTAAATGTGTTTATATCATATATTTATGATGCACAAATGCAAATTTCATCATCAGTCAGGACAGTCAGGTTTACAGGAGGTCACTCTGTGGTCACACTCTTTCACTCTGGAGCTCATTCACTTTCTACTTTAATTCTCTGAGCTCTGACCTCTACTTTAGAAATCCCTCCAGTTAGTTCACCTGGTTAATGCTTTAACCATTTCAACATTCAGTGATGTTTTGACCTTAATAATCAGCCAACAACAGCCACATTCTGCTCTAACAGACTCATACATTGAGTACATTGAGAGACATTGAATAAAGATGGTTAATCAGGTGAGTTAGATCAGAAAAACACTGCAGTCTAAAGTACAGGAGTAGAAAACTCTGCTCTGCTGCTCTGATTAGACTCACCTGCTCGGCTCTCTCTGTGGACTCTCAGCTCTTCTCTCACACCTTCATTAGACTCTGTTCAAGTCTGTTCATTCATCTTCTTTCTCTCCTCTCTCATTCTTCCTCTCCTCTGCTGAGACTGTCCCCCGTTTTCCTCCATCATCAGGTGCTGATCTTCTCACAGATCTGTTCTTCAGCAGGTCCGACACAAAAAACATACTGTGAAACTCTCTGCCTGTCCAGACTGTGTAAGATCTCACTGGTGGTTCTCATCCAGAGTTAAAACACAATCAAACCCAGATCACACTGACGCAGAGCTCTTCCTCCCTCTCAGGCTTTTTCATCAGCAGCATCTGTGCTGTGTAGATGGGACCTTCGCTCCTGTTTGGTTTATAACAGGAAGTGAAAAAATGTGCCGTTGCAGTAGTCAGTCTGCTCTGCAGGAAAGTTCGCTGTACTTTTCTCTGTCAGGTGTTTCCCTTCAAACACACGTACGTTGTGACACCACTTGTGTTTGCTGGTTCATTACAGCTCCACACTGAATATAAACAACGAACACAGAAGCTCTTCTCACTGCAGTTGTGACTCCGTTTGTGTTCTGGTTTTAACTGTAATGATTAACCAGTAAAATGTGTATTTAAATATCTCGAATCTCCATCATAACCTTCATTTTCAGTGGTAGGTTCATCTACAGACGGTGGGCTACGATCTAAATCACTGTCTCTCTGAGTAAAAACCTCATGAGCGAGTTTGTCTTTTACTCTCCACCTCTTCAAACTATCGATTCCACCTTAAATGTTCCTGAAGAGACATTATAGAGATATTTGGTCTGTAAATGTGTCGGATTAGTCGTTTTTATTAATCCATCAGGGATGAGTTCATCCAGTCTGACTTTCACTATTAAAGAGACTCACCTAAATGTGTAACGTTACCCTTTAACCCTTTAGACCAAACAGACCTCTAGAACTGTGGATTCCTGACAGTGTTCAGAGTCAGAGGCTGTCTGATCACTGTTTACTATAAAACCAGGTAAAAATGACCATCACAAGCTGAGTTCAGTTTAGAGGTCAGTCCACCTCTTTACTGTGAAAAAAGAAAGAATCTGACACTGATTATTTGAAAGAAAGATCAAGAGTGATTTAACAGTTTACAGAGTAACTACAGTGTATTTTTAATAGAAGTATGTAGGTTATTCTACTTCATTTACAGGTTCAGAGTGTAAATGAAGGTGAGTAACCTATTTATTTCTATTTAAAATACACTGTAGTTACTGTATTCTGTACAGACTGAAAAGGTCAGTATTGTTATATTAATATTAACTCATCCCTGATCCAAATCAGGCACATTTACAGGCCAAGTGGAATCGATAGTTTGAAGAGGTGGAGAGTAAAAGACAAACTCGCTCATGAGGTTTTTACTCAGAGAGACAGTGATTTAGATCGTAGCCCACCGTCTGTAGATGACAACAGATTAACTAGAATATTAACACACTCATACAGGACGACATCAAAACACACATTAACTGTGAAAATGAGAAAAATCTGGCCCACTGTGGTTTTCAATACGTCCCACTAAAACATGGACACAGATTGTAGATGATGTTCAGTTTGTTCTGTAATGATTATGGCAACAGCAATTTGTGGCTTCATTCACAGTGTGGTCAGCTTAACTGAAGTGAGTTAATTACGTTAATAATTAATGACATCATTAACAACATCAGATATATTACACTACATATTAATTATTTTCCTACGCTGTGCATTTTGATCTTGCTCTGCTCGACCACGGAAACCTGTTTCGTGAAGCTCCTGATGTGCAGTTCTTTTGTTGGTGTTGTATTTGCACTCTTTAGTGATGATTGAAAACAGGATAGACACTGTGTACTTCAGCACTCGGCGGCCCACCCTGTGAGTTTGTGTGCTTTACCACTTCCTGGCTGAGACGTTGCTGCTCTTTGATGCTTCCATTTTTATAGCACTTACAGTTAACAGGGGAAGAACGAGCAGGGTAGAAATATCACAAACTGACGTGGCAGAGGTGCCGCCCTATGACAGCGCCATGTTAAAACTCACTGAGCTCATCAGTTCGACCCTCTACTGCCAGTGATTGTCTTTCAAGACTGCAAGGCTATGTGCTTAACTTTATCCACCTGTTAGTAATGTGTGTGGCTGAAACACCTGAACTCTATAATTAGGAGGGATGTCCCAATACTTGTCCATATAGTGTACGTGTTGTTTAAAACAAGATGACTGTAGGCCATGTAGTTTCTGTTTGAACTGGACTCATATTTGATTTAGTAGAAGGAGTTTGAGTTGAACTCTTTATTTTAATAAGATTTCATCACAAATATCAGCCTTGCTGAGTCACAGATGCAGCACCTGTTACTCACAGAGATGATTTATTTCTGTTGAAAATACACTGTAGGTACTGTATTCTGTATATCTTGTTCAGTCTGGTCACACTGAAACAGCAAGTATTGTTTATCAGCAGAATTCAGTGTAAATATTCACTGTTTCCCCAATATTTTATTTCCCTTCCTTGTTTATATTTTTACATTTAATTGAATCTGTTTCTGTAATCTGTGAAAGTGTATTTTGTATAAAAATCTGATGAAATGTTCACTCTGTTTATTATTTCTTTTTTATGTATTTTTCTATTCTTTATTTCACTGTTTAATGTATGTATTATTGCTATGTCAGTCAAATGTGATGCTGCTGAAGAAGCAACGTCTTGAAAAAAAAAAGATTTTGCTGAACCAATTAAAGTGTTTCTGTGTCTGAGTTCAGTTTCCTCTTGTTTGTCCTGTGTTTTCTGCCTTTTTTCAGTAGATTACGGTTAATTTTGAGTGTCCTGATTCTGTAATGCTGTTATGTGTATATTGCATTACATGTTCATTGCAGGTAATTATATCTAGTTTGTATTCATTTGTATTTTATTATTTTATTTATGCTCTAATGTGCTCATAAGTCCATTTTTACTGATACAAGCTGTGTCTACAAGTTAGACGGTTAGAGAGTTGGTTTAGTCATGAGGCCACACAGGTTTGTTATTTTTGGTTTTCACCACCAGATGGCAGCATTTCTGATTCCTTTTCTGTCTTCTTTTACTGAGTTACAGTAACTCCTAAAGTCCTGCTAAATTGAAGTGAAACCTGTTGAGTATGTTCACTACAGTGCTGTGTATCTGACACAGTGCAGTGTTTTGGATAGTAATTAATAAGTAGTGTAATATATCAGACATTATTAAAGGTAATGCAATTAGTTAAGGCTTATTTTATATGGACTGATGTGCACATTGCTCTAGATTTACTGTACAATGAGTGTAAATTATAGTCAAAATATTTTTATATTTTACTTTTATTATAATTCTTTTCACCCTGAGAATATTTATCTTTCGTAAATTGCTGTGAACAGATAAACTGACCACACTGTGAATGAAGCCTCATATTGTTGTTGCCATATTCATTACAGAATAAACTGAACATAGCATATCTTACCTTACTAGACTGTACGTCAAAAACAGTGCACCACCACTAGCAGTACGTTCATTAGTACAGTATAGGCTGGAATGGTCACTGCACCCCACATCATTGTAGGAAACAGAGCTTAATCCTGTTTGCAGCTCAATCTGGAACACTGTCTGATCTTCACTGTGTTTTAACTATTTTATTTTATTAGTTTTACTACAAATGTTGGACAGTGAAAACAACTATGGGCTGCGTTTGTACAGAAAGTTCACTGTAGAGATATTCTGGGGTGTCCTCCTCCAGAGTTTTTAAATTAACCTGTAAAACACACTCAAAAAATATTTAAGCCCAAAAGTAAAACGTATGTGTTTTATTAACATGTCAATTTTCCATTCAATTTAAATACATAAATCCAATGTAAAAACGGTATTATAATTTATGTTTCTCCATCATGTTCAATAAACCTGAATGAATTAAATAACGTTTAAATTAGAAGTGCTTGTAGGATTTATGCAACTCTTTTATGTTTATGTATTTCTAAAGAGGTAATAGGACCCTCAGTATTCACAGATGGTACTATTAACTCTTTAGAAATAGAGTGTAATGTAATGTGCAAATATATTAAATGACAATACATGTTAAATTCACAAATATTTACTGTAGTCCAAACTGTATTAAACAGTATTTGCATTACAAGACACATGTAAACTTTAAAGTCTAATGTGAAAGAAATAAACATAACTTTATATATAATTCAGCTGTGATCAAATTCCCTGCTTTAGAATTTCTCTTCAGTCATAACTGAACTACTAATTAAAGCAAATGTTCATGTGCAGAACATTCTTACTGAGGTGCGGCTCTCATGCTAACCATCATGTAAGTTAGCTAGCTAACGCTATCAGTCACTTCATGCCGTGCTAACATGTCAAGGTCACCTACAGTTACAAAAACCATGAACTGTTGATTTGAATATTAATGGAATACATCTTTAAATACTGCCTAACAATAAATCACTGCCACTGTTTATTTAATCTACCCTTTGTACCCGTTAACATGACAGCAGACCTAGCAAGGATGCTAGCTAGCCAGTTCGCTGGTGTTGTCTAGAGTATCTCTCAAAATAAGAAAAATGAATCATTAAAATATGGTCAAAAACATTAAAAACACAAATGAAGTTAATGCGCATCACTGTTTCATTGCAGTTGCACTGAATAACAAATCATGGCAGGAGATTGTAAACATAAAAAGAGCCGTTTCATGTCCACCATGCCAGCTGAAGCAATGTCCTGGCTGATGATGTGTTTTCTGTGACTATTGCACATGCGCTCTGCGTCCTAATAAGATTTAGTGGAAACTTCTAACAGCTCTTATGCAATTCAATTAAATCAGTTTTGGATGTATGCAAATCGGGTTGTTTCTAATGAATATAAATAAGTAAAGTATATTTTTATGTCTTTTAAATAAGTTTGCAGCTGTAACTTTTTAATGAGAGGATTTACACAAGACGCTCAATGAAGCTGAAGTTTTAAACAGCCATTTACCTTTAGAAGTTGAAGTGATAAAAGGTGCGGCCTGTTCTGATCCAAAATTCTGTCACTGTTGTGTACATTCATGAATGTACACAAGTAAAAACAGAGCTGTTCTTACACACCGGAGAGGAGTGCAGAGTGTGTTACTTTTCGGTTTGGTAAGTAATACGAAGCAAAGTTGACACCAAGCCAAGTTCTGAGTCAACAGCCTAACGGATGTGTGATATTTGGAACCAGGCCAGGACACATAGCCTACCCTGCCCTGAGGCAGACATTTCCACCATTTCCCTTTCATTTGTATGTAAATATATAGGACACTGCTGAAGATCAGAGCTGTGAAGAAATTGAACTCATGGCTAACAAGAGATCTCAGTCTCAGTCATGGAAGAGTTTTATTAACTAAAGCAGAGGGCCTTTCTCGTGCCTCGTACATTTTCTCCTCTATAGATGTCCCACATACTTTATGAAGCCCTCTTGATAGATTATTATTTAATTTCATTTGGAAGAACAAGCCTCACAAAATTAAAAAAGAAGTCATCAAAAATAAAATAAAGGACGGTGAATTGAATGAACTGGACTTTCCAACATTTAATAAAATAATGAAAGTAAATTGGATTAAAAGATACTTAAAAATCCTCATAGCCAGTGGAATATTCTACCCAATTTTTTATTTCAAAA